ATTTCTGATGATATTTCAACATCTGAGTCTGAAAAGGAAGTTGACCCTTTTGACATTGATTTGCCTAACTTCGATGCCATTGGGGTGGATTTCTCCTTCACTGAAATGTTAGGTGAATTTGATCTTCATTGTGAAGAACTTGGTTATGCTAGTCAACCAAATGTTGGTGCTTCCATGGGGACTGTTTCAGGGTATTCTCTACCTTCCATATTTCCATGACATGTATCTCTCCATTACTCTCGTCATTACTGTCACTTCAATTCAGTTTTCTTATCTTATCTTATATTCTTCAAAACTCACATAGGTCATCATATGATAATGAAACTGCGGATGGTAATGTGGGGGCTAATCAAGTTATGTCAGAATTCTCATCAACTGTGACAGAAGTACTATCAGAGAAGGAGATGAATGTGCAAGGTAATGAAACACATCCTCAGCAGTTATAAAGTTTCCGCCATGTTCATGCATTTCATATTTAATGAGTAAACTTGCGTTCTTGCAGGTTCTGATTCTCTGACTGCAGTGAAGTCTGTAACAAAATGTATTAGAATTATAAGCCCTGGTAATTTTACTGTCTTTCTTAACTCTCCTCTCATTTGAATTTAACAGGGTAGAGTTTCTAATTCGTGTGCTTTTGGAATTGCAGTGAAAAATCGCAGAAGCTCTCAGGTTTAGCAGAATTGTACTGCAAGGATCTTACTGTTTTTGTGGAATGACTCTTCGGCTTGACTTGCTGCAAAAGATTTCTAACTATTTTAAGAAATCTATAACTCTTTTAGAAGCTGTATTAGTGTTGCCATAGCATTAAGACAACTCACACATTTCTTAGAAATATATATAAGTTTGTGGTTAGTAACTTAGTATTCTATCTTTGGTATCCCCTTGTTGCAGTCCTGGGCTTACTTAGGCTAATGGCTACACAGTTTCTTTCTCCCTTCACTGGATCTTGTAATCTTTGTATAGAATTGTCTATATTGACAAAGGCTGCTGTTAACAATTTATTATGGAAGTATTAATATCCTTTAATCCGATTATCATTCGTTAATCTTCTGTAATACTTATTTCAGAAAAATATAAATTCAATTCTCTCTTGTTCATTGTTTTTCTTGAGAAAAATTCCCATACAACTTTATCTTCACAAACAAAATTAAATATCTTTGTTGTCACATTCTGATCAAGCTAAATACTTCTCCAATTTCTCCACCTCCTCCACACTTCCAATGTAAAGCGGAATGCGCTGATGGATCTGTCAGAAAAGAACAACAAGAAGGAAAAATTCAAGTCATTAAAATTACATAGGGAGCTGCCGAAACTCACAGCAATTATACAATTTATACTCACCTCAGTTGGTTGGATGTCAAGTACTCTAGCACCGCCATCCGATCCCTTCCCACCGGCTTGTTCAACTACAAAGCTCATTGGTGCACACTCATACAACAGCCTCAGCTTCCCATTCTTGCTCTTCTTGTCCCTAGGGTACCCATAAATGCCGCCATAGAGCAGCGTCCGGTGGAAGTCCCCAACCAAGCTGCCAATGTACCTTGCAGAGTAGGGCTTGCCACTAGGACCCGGGTCCTTCAGGTCATCAATGTACTTCTTTAGCTTGTCATCCCAGAGCTGATAGTTGCCTTCATTGAATGAGTAAATCTTTCCTGCTTTTGGTATTTGAATGTTCTCTTGGGTCAAAACGAATTCTCCATACATGGGGTCCAAGGCAAATGCAAATACACCTTTCCCAATTGTAAGCACAAAGATTACAGAACTGGAGTACATGCAGTAGCCAGCAGCAAGCAGGTTGCTTCCTGGCTGGCAGACACTCACCACACATTTCTGCTCAGCACTGTCAAGCTACAATGCAAACATATATATAAGTGTTCCAATATTATTCTTCGTAGTTATATATAAACGAGATTCAGTGGGCGATATAAACAAATGAAATACTATCACATTAGTTGAGACTTAAAAGACGTTCGGTCGACTTACAGTTGAGTCTTCTTCAATGCTTGCAAAGCACTCGTCATTTGGGCTGTATATTCCAAAGATGGATCCAGTTGACACTGCAGCATCAATGTTGGATGATCCATCAAGTGGGTCAAACACCACAATGTAGTTGCCTGAGTAACTCTCTTCCACAGCCACCGGCACATCCTCTTCCTCTGATGCTATAATCCCTGTTCGTCCACTTGATCTTAGGCAATTGGAGAAAACCTGTATACCAAAAAAATTCAATCCCCTATTCTAACATATAGTTCTTAAACATTAATTATCATATGAAAATCGCCAATCCGTTGTAGTCTAGTTGGTCAGGATATTCGGCTCTCACCCGAAAGACCCGGGTTCAAGTCCCGGCAACGGAATTTCCTTTCGTTATTATTATTTTTTAAACTTTACCTAATTTAGCATTTAAATTGATTTAATAAGAAACTATATTGGTCTTATGTTCGATTCTTCCCGCATCCTAGGTATTATGTTCGATTTTCTTTCTAATATCGCTTGTATCAAAATAAGAAACTTGTAGGTGAACCACAAACCTCATTGGAGACAACATCGAGTTTCTTCTGGTCCTCTCCTTGAATATTGACTGCACCCTGAATGCCAGTTAAGTTAGAAACGCTAGCTCTCTGCACCAACGAAGCAATCTGCTTGCAGGCCAAGGAAATGCTCGAGAGAACAATGGTGAGCTCTGCATCAATCACGCCCTCCTGCTCCTGCTTCAACAACCAATTCGTCAGCGTCTGTATCTGGTACCCGCTTTTCTTCTTGGGCTCTGTCTCCGCCGCCACCGCCATGCATTTCACCCCATCGCCCACATGCCTCTTCTTGCTGTAGTTCACGTTACTGGGGAAGGAGACGATTGCTTTGGACCCAAAGAGACATTGTTGCAGAGGAGAGAGCTGAGAGATAGAGCGAGAGCTTGAGCATAAGAGTTGGGATGATGGTGAAGTTAGTGTTGCTGCAACCATGGTTTTGTGTTTCTGATTTGCTGCTCTCTTTTTTTTCTTGTTCGATTTCTGGTTTTTGATGTTCTGTTTTTTCCTTTTCACTTGGATTGTGAGTGTGGGATTGTGAGGTTGGCAACAATTTCTGTCATTTTTCTTGTTTCTTCTGGGGGGCCCACTTATCTTCCTCTTTTTTATGTTCGTTTTTGTGATCATGGTTTCTTCCTTGGGGAGTCCAATAGGAAGATGGATGGAGATTACAAATAACAAGTGGTGGTGCAATTTGGATTGTTGTTGGGTTGGATTTGCTTTGGACTAACTTCATTTGGGTCAGCTCATTAAAGCATATCCCAAGGATTTTGGGATTCAAAACCTAGATATAGCAAAGTAAAAGCCCAAAGTTTATATAGGAGTCCCATGTTTAAATCTTGGTAGCAATTGTAGAGTCATTCTATAGAATTCTTGCTCAATTGTATACGAAGAAGTTACCTGTAACAGAGAGATGATTTATGGTTGAAGTAGTTAAAAAGATTTACTCTTACACACATGAGAATCTATGTTCGAATTTTCTCATAGTAGGATACCACCTTGTCTCTATTTTTGTTTTTCTAGACAGATGATGATTAATGTAAAAGACAAATAGAAGAAAAAAAAAACCGTTGTAAGTTTCTCTCCAAAGATATAATAACACATGCCACATAGTATATAATAAGGCTTATTTATGTAAATGCCCTCTGTGCATTTAAAATTGTCTCAGATTACTGCATGTACTTTGAAACGTCTCAAAATACCCCCTACACTTTTAAAAACTGTCTCACGTTATCCGTTCTGTCAGTATTAAGAGACGTTCCGTTACGTCGTTTGGGCCCCACTTCTTTGCAATCGCTTAACATTGGATTTTAGGGTTATTCAGTTTAAAAAAAGGGGGGGTATTTAGGTGAGAAGGGGAAATTTGGAGAAGAAGGCTAGGGCTTATGAAAATCTGAGGTGTGGTTCGGATTTTGGGAGAATTTGGAGAAGAAATCACGGGTTTATACAACTCTGAGGTGGAGTTCGAAATTGGGAGAATCTGGAGTAGAAGATTAGGGTTTATGAATCTCTTAGTGGAGTTCGGATTTGGGAAAAGGGGAATGGGGATTTCAAATTTGGAGGTTCAGCTGGTTCTTCTCTGTGTGAATACTGACTGAATTGAAGAAGAGATGGAAACAGGAGAAGCAAGGCATGCCCAATGGTGTCATTGTGGGAAGTTAGCACGGATGCAGACTTTGTGGACCACTTCAAACCCAGGGCGGAGATTTCTAGTTTGCCCAAAGTCAAAGGTAAGAATGTTTAAGATCAAATTTTCAATCATTGTTTTGGGCATCACAAATTGATAGAGTTCTTATTAATCAAATTTTCAGTCATTGTTCTTGGTTGATTCAGGGAAGTGGTGAAAAATGATGTAGGTTTTTTCAATGGTTTGATGCAGAAATGTGTGAGCGTTCAAAGTCTTTGATACCTGGTTTGCTGAGGAAGATTGATAGGGTGGAAAAGGAAAATGCAAAGATTCGAGCAAAGTAAAAAATGTTGTGGGTTGCTATGTTGCTTTCCTGGTTGGTGGTGTTTGCCATGAAAATGAATTAGGAGGAATTAGGAGGAATTATGAGTAATATGTTTTGTAATTTGGTGGGTGTAATGTGATTGAGAAGCCCGGGCTACTTGAGACCAATAGCAGTAGTTCAATAAGCAATGTGATTTGAGACGAGTAGACTAATAGCAGTAGTTCAGTGGGTGTAATGTAATGTAATTTGGTGGGAAAACAATGTAATTTGTTTTGAGTTTTATCAGCAAGCAATAGTTCATTGTAATTTGTTTAGAGTTTAGAGTTTTCTTTGTATTGTGATAGGTTACAACCATATCTTGTTCATTGGATACCAAAAACAGGTTACAAAAACAAGTTGCTCATAAGCATATCTTGTTCATGCCATATCAAATGGTTACATCTCAATACTTGATCAATATAAGCATAACAACAAAAACAGGTTCCAACCATCACATTACATATCAAATGGTCAATTACATCTAAGTACCTGACTCAAAAACCTTGACAGACATGAAAGCCTAATAAAACCAACCATCACAGACATCAATAATCCCACAAACCAACAGCCCAAATGGTTACATCTCAATACTTGATCAATATAAGCATAACAACAAAAACAGGTTCCAACCATCACATTACATATCAAATGGTCAATTACATCTAAGTACCTGACTCAAAAACCTTAACAGACATGAAAGCCTAATAAAACCAACCATCACAGACATCAATAATCCCACAAACCAACAGCCTAATTGCAACCATAATCAAACCATTAAAGTCTTACAAAACTAACCAATTGCAGAATCTATAATTCCACAACATTCAAACCATTCTTCCGTGAAAACATAATTCAAAAAGAGTTCATCCTAATTCAAAAACAGGTTGCAAAAGTTCAACATCATCACATCTAAGGATGAAAAAAAGAATCTTTGACAAAATGGCTCCTATGTTGATCTTTCATCCTCCTCCTACGTTGTTGTACTCAAGATATTTTGGTAGATTAAGATGAAGCACATGTTTGAGAAGCCTGAGCTGCTTGAAATGGTTGGGATTGAGAAGCAAATAATAATGCTTGAGATGGTTGGGATTGAGAAGCCTGAGTTGCTTGAGATGATTGGGATTGAGAAGCCTAGGCTACTTCAGATGCCTAGGATTGAGAAGGCCCTTGGGAACCACTTGCTTGTTTCCTTTGCCTTAGTTGCATACTTTGTTGTTAGCTACTTTGCTCTCCACCATCTCTCCTTCTTACCTAAAACAAAAAATAATTAGATAGGCATGATATGAAAATCTGAATGGTGAATACATAGTTCAAACTGTGGCACTTACTGGAAGTTTTTCCTTGGCAACTTTCCTTATCTTAGTAGGCTTTATGTTGGGATTTCTAAGTTCCTAATAAGCAAAGTCATCAAGTTAGAAACCATATCAAATATATTTAAATGTAAAGCAATTTTGGATAATGACACATACCTTACAACTGATTCGATTATGCCATTCTCCACCACAATTGCCACACTTTAAAGAGATGCCATACCTAGGAAGCTTATATGGATTAGCAGGTTGTTTAGGCTCATCAAAAGCTTGTTTCCTTGTTTTCTTAGGCCTACCAAGCTGCTTGTGGTATTTTGGAGGGAGTAATGGAGGTAAATTAATCTTCATCCATTGATCTTGGCTAGTCATAGGCATAATCATTGGTTCATAGGCTCTCAATAAGCCTCTTTCTTGTACACTGCATCACAAAAGTTCTCTGGATTCCCATGAAACCAACTTATTGCAGCACAAGCATGCAAACATGGTATTCCATTCAAATCCCAGGCATGGCATGAACAAAAGTGAGCATTCAAATCAATAGCAAATTTGCGGCCACTATGGTGCATTACTTCAAACCTATTCTGTCCAGCAGCCTTAGGAATGCACCACTGAGCTTTTCCTTTGTTTTTCTATAATATCTTTCTAATTCTTGGCCCAACTTGTCCATGCCATTTCTCACATAAAACCCTTCTTCCAGCTATCAACAACATTATATACAACCGAATTCTTTCTAGCATAGTCAAAATAGGCTTGTCTCTAGCATCCATTATGCCACGGTTGAATGCCTCACATAGGTTGTTCATAAGTATGTCACACTTGGAATCACTCTTGAAATATGCCATACTCCAATGCCTAAGATCTTTCTCTGCAAGCCAATCATGTGCAAGTTTAGACAACTCCAACATCTTTCTCATCTCTGCATCAAACCATGGCACTGTTGTGGCCTTAGCAATTGCTTCCATTTGATGTTTCAAAGCAAGACCTCTATGCTCCAAATAGAAGTTTCCATACAGATGTTTCAAACAATGTATGTGCTCTGCATGAGGGAATAAAGCATCCACAACATCTATTAAACCTTTTTGCTTATCAGTCATAAATACATAACCATGGCTATTCCTAATATTCAGATCACCACTCAATAATTCTAAAAACCACAGCCACGTTGAAATACTCTCAATCTCTACATATGTAGGCAAGTGGAAACATTCCGTTGTTTGCATCAACTTCCATTACATAAAGCACTTGCCCAGGGTGAGGCCCTTTGACATGACACCCATCCAAGCAAACCACATGCCTACAACCATCTAAAAACCCCTTCTTGCAGGATGCAAGACAAATGTAAATTCTCTGAAACCGTGGCTTATCACCTTCCATTTCAGATTTAATGATAACTGTACTTCCCACATTTCTCGTTCTTAACTCATGACAATTATCCCACAATACTTCATATTGTTTACTGTAAGACCTCTCTACAATGTCAACTGCCATGGCTCTTGCTCTGTACACAGTTGCTCTAAATGGTCTGTAACCATAGTCTTGCTAAACTTGCTCTGCAAAAGAAGAAGCAGTCTAATTTGAATTGAGCCTTAACTACCCAGAATATCTTTCAGCCAACCCGCTAACAGTGGCATGTATATTTTTACTCCCCTTACTACAAACATGTGTAGGATTAAAGGTTTTCACCTGCAGGTAACACTTGAAGCATGAATAACAAAAGAACAACCCTCTTCACATACTACTCTTATTTTGTTACAATCATTATTCATCAATATCAACTCCCTTCCACAATTAATGGAGTATATCCTCACAGCTTTTCTAAACATCTCGACAGTTGCAAACTTTAAACCAACTTTGAAACCTGGGTTTGCCATATCAATTTCAAGTCTGAAATCTTCACCTTTTGGCATTCTATTCTTCCCCCTTCTTAGTTCACCTAGTGCTTCATCTTTACTTGAAGAGCTACTTGGGCAGGTAAGTGTGACTCTTCTCCACTGGCTGACTCATGATTTTCCTCTGCATTAGGTTCATTGTCAGTACAACTATGATCCACATAACCTTCAAACCACTTATCATCCTTCTTCAATAAGTCAATCTCTTCATCACTCTGTGTGTAGTCACTGTCTTCAAAGTCTAGATCACTACTATCATCATCACTACTACAAAAAATGAAATAGACAACGGTGGATCACTGTCGTTGTGATGCCTTGAAAACCGTCGTTAAATCGACCGCCATCTTTTGGAGTATCAAACTACGATGGCTTTTCACCGTCGTTGTTTATTTGAAAAGACGACGGTTTTTAGTAAAACCATCGTTGTTTTGATATATAGACGAGAGTTTGTGACAAAAAATCGTCGTTGTTTAGAGGTAACGACGACGTTTTTGTCAAAACCATCGTTAATTGTAGGCAAAATACGACGGTTTTTATTTAAAACCGTTTTTGATTGTATAGAAAGATGACGGTTTTTTGTTTAAAAATGTATGTAAAGACGACGGTTTTTTGTTAAAAAATGTATGTAAAGACGACGGTTTTTTTGTTAAATTTTAGTTCAGTCGTCTAATAAGTTCCCAGGTTGTTATATTTTAGTTTTTTTATTTCCTATGATTCTATACAACTATTTTTACTAGAAAACTAACCATAATGCTTTATTAATGAATATATACACTCAAAAATTATTTCTTTCATAAAACTTGGAAGTTTCAATAGTAATTACATAGTTAACCAATCTTTATTCCTACCACATACATACTTCATGCCACATCGCTAACATTACCTGAAAACATAAACATGGCCATGAGGAAAATATACATACCTGAAGGGTGCAAACAATATCCGTAGCTGACATGATAACACCAAGTGTCTCATGTAGAGAAGTGAAATAAAAAATATGAGCATAAAAAGGGAAAAATAAGAAGTAATAAATGTTTCAAATACAACACAAATATAAACTCAAACCACCAAAACGTGAACACTACCAACTTGAAACTGTTGTTGGTTATAGTATACCACAACAACCTACAACTTTGGGAATTACCTAGAAGCAGAGGACAAGGTCTTCAACCTTCAAATTTTGACAAAGTCACCCTAAGCATAAAAGGACCACCAAGAAATCCAATGACAAAGTCACCCTTGTTTGTGTACTAACCATGCCCCATTTTTTGATCACCTTGCCTCAAATAATTCCAACTATGATATGTTTTCGGTCTTTTCTTCTACTTTCAAATGCACAATAGTAAAATAATAAAATGATATGTGAATGATATTATGTGAAACAAAAACAGTTCAAACTTGAAATAACTTATTAGATATGACATTCAATGGCTGGCTGGTAATAGAATGACAAATTTATAAACTAGTGTATATAATACAATTCAAAACTTCAACTAGCTCGGTTGGTTTGTGGTTCATTATTTTTCTATTTTGGCTATAATAAATGAGCTCACCATACAATAATCAGATTTAACCAGTTTTCAAAAAGCCTTACAAGCTTGCATATTACTACAGCCTAGACATAAAAGCAACAAGAGGTTATGAGAAGCACCATTAGGTACTTCAGAACTTCCGAGTGCCTTATTCGAAGGGCGAATTCCCTATTCCTCAGAGATATTTTGGATATGTTTGGCAACTCTTGCGCTCTATTCTGCAACCAACTTTGCACCTAAGACAATTGCAACAGAGTAGGGCTCTAAAAATGATTAATCAAGGACACCTTATGGTAACAATAGTAACAACAATATCATGGTATTATACTGCAATAAAAGTAAAGGAAAAGAGAGTGAATGAAATGTGCAACCTTAGTCCATTTCACAATTGGTTTCCTAGCATGACCGGCGGAGTGACTGCATAAGCATAAGAAGCCAAAGCAAGACTTAGAGTAGGGACAAAAATTTACCTGAAAGAAGAATCAGTACAATATGAAATTCTAACCATGAAATGAAACTCACTTAAAACATTTTGCAATATTTTGACAAAATTGTCGCTCCAACACTTGTTCTCCTAATTCCCTTAGCAATCTCTCGATTGTTTGAGTCTGTTCATAATGGTGGTGGAAAAAACCAAATAAAAGAAAAGCGCAATAATGTCAACAGATAATCTCTCCATTTTATGAGTATGTTCAACATACATTTATTATTTACAAAACCAATAAAGACCAAGAAGAAAAAAATTGAGAAAAACTTGAAAAAGCCCGTCAATCCAGCTTTGCAAACCGACCTTGTATGCTCAATTGTTTCATAAAGCTGTTATATGTCCCCCAATCTCAGTAACTAGTTAATCCCAAGCTTCCTTCTCATCTCCTGAGAACCAAATCAGAAAAATATAAAAAGAAACCAGAAATAAAAAAATATGTAAACAAACTAGACAAATCAAGAGAGATAGAGAATCTGAAATCAGGGAGACAAAGAACATACCAGAAACGCAAAGAGACTAATCTCGAATTCACTAGCGAGATATAGAAGGGTATTGAGAGATTAAGTGACTTTCAAATCAAAGGTAGGAGGCTAGGGTTTCAATCTTCACAATTATTAGGAGATCGAGACAATTATAGAGCTTGGACCTTCAGAGGAGTGCAAGGGCCAAGGGCCTGAAGTGATGACGACAGCCATGGGCCTGAAGTGGCCTGTGCGACTGATTTCGACTGGTCTTTCTGGATCGCAACTACGAAATTGGAGAGCTAACCGGACCAAGTCGTTGAGGTTGATGAGAGAGTTGAAAGCCTGAGATGGAGATCTTCGTTGAAGAGCGTGGAGATCGAGATCTTCACCATCCAACCAACTTTGATTCTCAGATACAGAACATCCCTCTCCATCTTGTGGATCTGCGGAGACCTGAATCTCTCAACTCCTTCATTGATATCGATTTTCTGATGATTTTGTAGAGAGTTACATGAGGGTGTTTCAGAGAGCTTAGGAGGGTTTCAAGGAGGGAGAGATAAGGCTTTCAGAAATGGGAAAATTTGAAAATTTGTGGAGCGCGAATTCAATTAAGCGGCCTTTTTTTAGCGTGTTTTAAAAGACAATGCTTGTTAGTGACATATGTTGTCTTTTAAAAATCAAGTGGCCTTTTTTTTTGTTTAGCGTATTTTAAAAGGCGACGCTTGTTAGTGACAAGCGTCGTCTTTTAAAATCAACCTAAAGCTAGTAGTGTATAAGATGATATATCATGATGGTTTTAAAAACACCGTCGTCTTTTAAAACATAACGACGGTTTTAAGATGCACCATCGTCTATTTTTTGTCGTGGTTTAACTATTTTGTAGTAGTGATCCTCAAAACAAGAATATTCTGGATCACTACTATCATTCTCCACTTGGCTTGAAGTCAGGCTCACTGCTTTCAAGTACAAAATTATCCCCCTGTTATTGCTTTTAGGTACCGTGCTCATACAAGCTAAAAGCGTACTATCTGATACTATTTGAATGAGTCTACCAATTCCAAACTTTTCAACATAAAAACTCACATCATACCCATCGTCATATCCCAAATCTTTAGCCATTCCAAATAGCTCTAACATGGACATATAGTCAACCTTACAATAATCAAACCAACTGACTTCACCACCCAAATAAGACCATTGACTGTCCCTTCTATTTTTAATTAGTTTACCTCTATGGAAAAACTTAAATGTAACAACCTCGTCAGCATTTTTATCTGTGTAAGAGGAAGATTCACTTAACAAACTGACAAAGGTAACAAAGACAAAACAAGGACCACACAAGGACAATACAAGGAACACACAAGGACCACACAATGACCACACAAGAACCACACCAGGACCAGCACAGAGTAAAAAAGTATACAAAAAAAACAAAAACAAAAAACTCCAGCAACAATTCAATGCACATGCCAACAACAAGAAAAACGAGTGAGAATGGATCCACTTACATATGGGTTGACAACCTCCAGATTCTCTAAGCACCACCATCTTTGCACTTTCTAGCCTTAAAGTCCAACGGCCCCCTTTCCCTTTTCCCAAATCTGAACTCCACTCAGAGATTCATAAACCTTAATATTCTACTCCAGATTCTCCCAATTTCGAACTCCACCTCAAAGTTGTATAAACCCGTGATTTCTTCTCCAAATTCTCCCAAAATCCAAACCCCACCTCAGATTTTCATAAGCCCTAGCCTTCTTCTCCAAATTTCCCCTTCTCACCCAAATACCCCCTTTTCTGAAACTGAATAACCCTAAAATTCAATGTTAAGCGATTGAAAAGAAGTGGGGCCCAAACAACGTAACGGAACGTCTCTTAATACTGACGGAACGGGTAACGTGAGACAGTTTTTAAAAGTGTGGGGGGTATTTTGAGACATTTCAAAGTACATATGGTAATCTGAGACAACTTTAAAAGCACATGGGGCATGTACATAAATAAGCCTATATAATAATGCACACAACAATTTCTTGCCCGCAAAACTGGTTGAAGACCTAACCAAAACCCAACCCCAAAGGTCAAGACATGCCACGTCATTCATATCATTATTGGCAATGACCAAGTCTTATGTAAACGTGGGTGAACTCGCTTGGTTCTCGGAAATGGAGGCAATAGATTATGGGTTCTGATGTGAGCTCATAAACACATTTAGGAATATTCAGCGGGAGAAGGGACAGAGAAAAGGCGAGGGGGGACTTAATTTGCTATCAATATTTGACACCCTATGGTTGGAAACCTGGAGTGATCTTTAATTTCTGAAAATGTAGCTGGCATAACACGTCGAGCAAAAAAAAAACCACTACTTGGCTATTGGAAATTAAAAATAGGTTATTGACTTGGCAACTTGTTTTTCTATATCATTAATATAAAAAAAACTGGGTGACTTTGCAGATGGAAGATCTCTATCGAGTGTGCTGTACTACCTACTTCTCCTTTGATTTTCCATACAAGGATCTTCCCTTCAATTCAATTCCCTTCTTTTGAATTTTACAGACCCAAAAAGAAAAAAGAAAAAGAGAAGGGTGGATATGCCTTTCTTGACCCCTTTTTCCACTTTTAAATTCCATTTACAGACACAATGCATCTTAAGTGAAGCCATTGGTGTTTAATCATGATTAAGGCATTGCATACACGTTATGCCCCATTCAATTTTTGTTACACATATATAACATCATAGCTAATCATATTAACATATATTTATCATAAAATATTAATTAACCAATGCATAGTGAAGTTATGATGCGGCTTTTGTTAGTCTTAGTTTAGTTTTTAAAAATATTAGTTTGTTGTTCTCTGAAGATTGGTATTTTCGATGTCTTATTGATGTCTTTGATTGTACTATTGAAATTTATTTTTAGTAAAAAATAAATAAAAATGGTTACGATCACAAATACCTTGATTAATACTCTTTTCTGGGGTCAATGCCTTGATTAATACTGATAAATAAAATTATACTCCTAATTAGGTTTGAACATAAGTAGTCTCTCTTCCTCGATCAAATTTTAACGTACGTCTCAAAAAGTGTCTTTTGACAAATGACAATATAACTGTTTGCGTCTGAGTAGCTTCACGGCAATGATCTGGTATACCAAAGTTCACATAGTTCTGGAACCTTCAAGGCTCGCCGCCACGACATGGCGTTCACGAAAATTACGGGGAAAAAGAAAAAGACATGACATTAGTTCATGAAGACCTAGACTTCCCTTTGAAGCCGAGCGAACCATATACACAACTTGACAGATGGAAGCCTAGCTGTCGTTCGATGTAAACAAAGTATTTCTGTTTAGCTATCAACATTCATATATGGTTTGAATTTCATGGTTCGAGATGGCATGCTAGTCACGCTAATTAATAATTTAATATGACCTGACCTAGTCCCAACCAAATAAAATATTTTTGCAAGTTGTGAAGCAAAAAATACTGGAAACGTGCAGCTTGGGCACAGACTAAAATTATGGTTCAAAACTTGATATTTGTTCAATTTTTTAATTGAGCAGAAGAAAATAAATGTTGGGTATATGAGAATTCAAAAGTCAAGTTAATTGCATTTGTCATGTAAGTTAGGTCCAAATCACCCGTCTTTGACTAGGCAGAATTTGCATAATGGTTGTCTAATGTGTTCTTTAATTAATTAATCTAACATATGGAGATGAGATTCGAACTTAGGTGTAACGAACTCATTGTTCCTGATTTAACTTACATATGCAGCTATGATGTGATTTTCACGGAAAGAAAAACAAGACAAATTAAAGGAAAAAAATGACTTCTCCTCTCATTTCTCATTTAGTTTAACCAAATTGATTAATTAGGGTCTGCCACTTAACATGTATAAATTTCCAATTCATTGAATGGGAAAAGAATATATGGTGGTTAAAGAATTTGATAGGTACATACATCGTTCGTGGGTCATGCATAAATAAATGTCAACAAACCCTACATGACACGAATGGAGAAAGGAGAAACTTCAACATATTTGCAGGCTTCCCGCACGTCTTTGCTCTTTTTTAGCGTCAACAATAAAACAAGTCAATAAACAAAGAAAACAACTGAAAAAGAAAACAATAAACAATTAAAAATGGTAAAAAAAACAAAAGAAAAGAACAGAGAAATGATTTAATATGACAAATGGCTTCTAACAGAAGTATTATAAAATAAAAAAAATCGGAGGCGTAGTTTTCACCGACCTGTAAGTTTTGTAACGCGTCTCTCAATATAGTGAAGACGCCTTATAGTTCAACGCTGTCTTCTCTATATATAGTTGGAGTTGCCTTTTGTTGTTTCATAGTTTCATAGCTTCACACCTCTCTCTCTCTCTCTCTCTCTCTCTCTCTATATATATATATATATACATAAACCCGTCTCTTCTTCTCACTCATCTCACAAACAAAAATCAATCTCTCTTTTTGTTTGTCGATCGATCAAATCCATCAAAAATACTCAAATGGCTTTGATCTCCACCAAGTTGTCTTTGGCTCTCTTCCTCTCTTCCCTCTGCATCCATGCAGCTCTAGGTACGTAATGTTCATAAATTTCTAATTACTTTAAACTCTTAATTAAACATGGTTTTATATTGAACTGAATTTGATTTTCTCTCAGGTGGGTTTATATGTGAGGATTTGCCAAATGATGTTTGTGCATTTTCGGTATCGTCTGCCGGGAAAAGGTGTCTGCTAGAGACCATGGCAAAGAAGGATGGAAGCATAGAGTACCAGTGCAGGACATCAGAAGTTTTGGTTCAGGGGGTGGCAGAGTACATTGAGACAGATCAGTGTGTGAAGGCTTGTGGCATTGACAGGAAGTCTGTTGGGATTTCATCTGATGCCCTCCTTGAGCCTCAGTTCATGACCAAGCTCTGCTCCCCAACTTGCTACCAAAAGTGCCCCAACATTGTTGAGCTTTACTTCAACTTGGCCGCTGGAGAGGGTAAGAATAACATTTCACAAATCTTTGATTTAATTTCTTGTTTTCAATTTTTATTGTTTTAGTAATTCCAAGTTGGTAATGATTAAGAATGATTGTTTTGTCACACCTAAAACATTCCTTTTCTTATCCTTAGGACACATTTTAAAACAAAGTAGTACAAGTTTGGGTGTTTGGCTACCAAAAAGGAGCCTAGCAAAGAATCTGTCTAGATTTTGGTCTGCTTTCGCTTTCTTTTTCTGCCATCAATATGATATACCTCCCTTCTTATTTAATCAAAGTGTTCCCTTTATTTTATTTTTTTGTGGTACAAGTTCATAACTTCTACATACGACAACGTTTCTTTCACATTTTTGTTGTATCATATATTATAGTATACACCCGTTCTGTGTAAGAATTTTTCGCACACACTTCTTGCTCTTGATTAATTGTGACGTAATATAAAAGTAAAATGGAACTCATGTGTGTTGGTTAATGTTTTGACAAATGCAGGAGCGTTCTTGCCTGATCTCTGTGACAAACAGCGTACCAACCCTCACCGTGCCATGCTCCAGCTCTTGAGCTCAGGTGAGGCCGCCCCTGGCCCCGTCAGCAGCAAATCACCATCAGGAAACTTGGCATTTGCCCCTTCTCAGGAAGAAGCATTTCCCCCTTCTGAGGCATTTGCTCCTACTGAGGGAGAAGCACTTCCTCCTTCTGAGGCATTTGCCCCTGCTCCTCTGTAAACATGTTGTGTAGTTTCTGCATAAAATTTATTTTGAATTTTAGTGTAAGTTTAGTGACGAGTGAGGAATAATTATCAAATATAGAGCCAAAAAAACAAGGGGAACCGGGGATTTTCTTTGTGGAAGAGGTTTGTTGAGATTTACGACGTTTATATGAAAAGTAATTGTATTACTTTTTTTTATTTTTTTATTTTACACATGTCAGATCAATACATACAATCAATGATATCACATTTCTCCGAAATTGCCAACCACTCAATTCTGGAATTAAGTTTTCCTTTGATTACATTTATTTTTATTGCTAATAATATGGTTTGCTTGGCTCTAGAGTCTAGAGGCCATTGCCACATGACCGATTGTAAGAATGTTTCATCAATTCATGTAATTGCCCTGTTTATGCAACGTGAATGTCTCTTTTCTCGCAAATTCAAAACTCAATAAATGAAATACTATCACATCAATTATCAATTGGGTTTCAAAATTTTCAAAGTTTCAACAATTAGCTTCAGCCTTTAATAAAAATAAAGAAAAAGAAAGCTAGATTGTCAAATTTTCGCCTTCTGTAATTTTGGGCCTCAACTCTGTTGTTAATCAGTGCAATCTGTTCTGCAAAGAAACAAGAAACCACACAAATGGAAAATTACAATAACACAAGAAGCAAAGATTAATCTTAGCTAGAGTCCCCAAATATAGAGAGGCCTTAAAATCTGATGGAGCTAAACTACAAACAATTAAGAACCCCATGATATACATGCAAAACCATGTGTGGTTCTAGCTAGCCTTCATATATGTATATATATATTCCTCTCATCACAACCCAAACCAAACCAAACTCTTTTTGTTTTCTCAATTAGTAAAGCAGAGGGTACAGACAAATTAATGCTCAAACCACATGGCTTTCTCAACCAACCTAATTTTCCTCCCTTTTCTTCTCTTCCTCTTCCTCTC